CGCCATCAAGTTGAGGAACTCTGGAGAGCAAAGTCTCGTCAGCATAACATGTCCCAGAGGAGCATCTTGAGGAAAACCTCACCATTGAAGTCAATGGTGCCGTTGTTGTCGGCGTCGACCTCGTTGACCATGTCGTTCAACTCGGTGTCGCTGGGGTTGAGGCCCAGGGACCTCATCACCTCGCCAAGCTCCTGGGCAGTGATGTCACCTGCAGGGACAATGTCAATTTCCGTTGATGGGATGGAAAAGAAGTAGTAGAGGTATCGCATATAAAACAAAAAGGGTATAAAATGAAAAGCGCAAGATGAGATGGAAAAAAAGGGGTCTGAACCAGCTCCCCTCTTCCCGCGCTCATCCTGCGAAAGAGGGTTCGAGTCGAGTTTCAATGACCCCCCAGTTTGCCGATAGAAAGAGGCGAAGCAAACCAAAAACATAAAGGGTTCATGGGAGTCTATAAAACTAACCTGTCCCATCCTTGTCCTATTTCGCGCAGACAAGTCGTTAGTAAAGATGCTTGATTTGAGGTTTGAGGAATTTGTTGCCCAAGCTGTACACAATGCGCCGCCAGCCTGATGGGAAAGGTGGAAAGGGGGAGTGAGGGGCATTGAGGCAGCCCAAGTGACGGAGAGAGCTCGGAGGGGTGAGTGAGAACTTACGAAGAGGTCAAACACCTCCTTGTACTGCGCCCTTTGCTCTTGGGTCAACTGTGCAGCCTGTCAAACGCATGTTAGCTGCAGCTCATTGATAGTCTCTCATACAAGACTGGCGATCCGAATCTCACCATTTTTTTTTATATGTGGTTGTCTGCTTTTGGGTGACGGGATTTTGTTTGTGAAGGAAGATTTGGGTGAGTGAGAGGTGGTTTGAGACAGGGAAGACAGCGTGGGACAGCTGAAAGCGGGGATGTGACCACGAACCCCGCACGGTGTGGGCGGTGGGAAGAGCAATAGGATTCATACGGTCTTGGTACAAAGAGCCGTGAGGTAAGGAATGGTGGGCTGGGCTGGGCTGGCCATGGTCCAGGTTGCATCAACGTTCCCTTGTTTAGAAGCCCAACGGTCATGATTAAGTCAGCCTTGTGGTGATGTGATATCTGACTGGACCTGCTGCTGTGCTTGCTGTGCGTGCTCAGGCGATGCATAACAGCCAATAGTGGAACATTGGACCTCTCTGTTTGGCATGGCACAGCTCAATCAAGGCTTGGTTGGATTGCCTGGTTTCTGCTACTTGCCTACCGTTCTCCTTGGCTCCATTCTCTCTATTTCATCACCTTCGTAATTAATCGACGTCTGATACCTCAAATCGTCATGGATCAATGATTATCGTTTAGATGGCAAAAATATTGAAATGGCAAAAGTTATCAGGGGCCCAACCGCGATTCGAACGCGGGGCCTCGCCCATTCAAGCTGTGCTGAAGGGTTTTTATACCCGAAGGGCGAATCATACCTCTAGACCATTGGGCCTGATATTGTTGGATGACATTTATCGGGCCTGAACGGGGCTAAGGGGGCGAGGGCGCCAGCCTGCACTCGTGGACGCAAAACACAGGGCAAAAGGCAGTTTTTCATCCGAGTTGGGGGACCATGGCGGCTATTTGAGCTCAACCCGGCAAGCCCAGCGCACTGATTTCATTTCCCGCCATTACATTGCCTCCCAGGATGACGTCGATTATCTCCCATCAACCATCGCTCATCGCCGAGTGGGAGTCGAGGAACATCAAAGCTCTGCTATGCTCACCATCGTCAATTGCCGTTTTCCTCTTGAGTGAGAAGAGAACCGACACATTCACCCACCCGCCGCCTACATCGGAAAAGCCAAGCCTGTCCGGGTTCAAAAACCACGCGACCACGTCCGTATCGCACTGCCGCAACACCTAACCCATCGCCAAACCTTTCCCTTCATGCAAGTGTCGGCCGACCTGCAAACCAACCTTACCGATCCCGACTATTCCCAACTGGTGGAACCCCCACCAACGCCATTGACCTTACATGATGACCCCTCCAGACTTCCCCCCTCCTACTCCTGGTCGCAGGGGAAGGCAGAAAATGGGAGAAAAAAGACACCGGTCGGCGCCCCCGCCAAGCCAGCCCGCACTCCAACAAACTACCAGGTCTGTCCCTCGTCCGGGGGTGAGGAAAAACTTACGATACACCGATGGAATGACCCCGCCGACGCCATTTCCAGCGAGCAAGTCGACGCGAGACCTACCTTACCCCCGGGAGTCGGGAGACGCTACCGACCTCCCACCCATTCGATGACCTAGCCCAGACTCCCCAGCAGAGGAAAGGGAAAAAAAATTTGACCTCCGATAACGCCCTTCCCTCGTACGTGTGGCCGCGTGCGGTGAGCTTTCCGCACCGCCAATTTCCACTCTCAGAGATCGACCCGCACTATTATTTCTTCGTCCTATCCTGTCCGTCGCATTTTTTAAGGTAATGTTTCTCTCTTGCCCCTTTGGCTTCAAAAGTTTTCAAAAGTACCTCTACCTTACCCCTTGTGACCTCCCTGCCTCCCGCTCCCGCGCCGGGTACCCGCTCCGATAGCATACGAAACTCCGTTCACGACATAGCCTCTCCCACAGACACCAACAACAGACGAGACACAAGATGCCCTCCGACCCGGCGGCGGCGGCGGCGGCGGCGACAGAGCCAGCGCCCTCCTCCATCCTGATCATCGGCTCCGGCGTCTTCGGCCTGACCACAGCCTACGAGCTCGCCCAGCGCCCACGCTACGCCTCCACAAAGATCACAGTCCTCGACCGCTCTCCGATCCCCGGCCCCAGCGAGGACGCCGCTTCCGTCGACTCCTCCCGCATCATCCGCGCAGACTACGCCGACCCAGCCTACGCGACCCTCGCCGCCGAGGCCCAGACAGAATGGCGCAAGACCTCCCACCCTTCTGACCTCGGCGCGGAGGGCCGCTACAGCCAGTCCGGCCTCTGCCTCGTCGCTGACCCCGTCGCCACGGCCTCGACCTCGTACTTTTCCTCCTCCTCCGCTTCAGCGGCAAAGACCAACGCCGACGCCAAGCAAAAGGCCAAGAAGACGTCTCTCGAATACGTCCGCGAAAGCTACAACAACGTCGTCTCCCTGGCAGGCAAGGACGGCGACAAGATCATCAAGGAGCTGCCCACGCCCACAGCTATCAAGGACTACCTCGGCACCCCCGAGGCCCCCGGCACATGGGGCTACATCAACCCGCTCGCGGGCTGGGCCGACGCCGGCGCATCAATGTCCTACCTCGCGCGCAAAGTCGTGGCCCTCAACCGCGTCACCTTCGTCTCGGGCGTCGCGACCCGCCTAAACTACACACTCGACAAGTCGACCGTCACAGGCGCAACCCTCCAAGACGGCTCCGTCCTCTCTGCCGACCTCGTCATCGTCGCAGCCGGCGCCTGGACGGGCGCCCTCGTAGACCTCTCCGGCCAGGCCATCGCCACGGGCCAGGCCGTGGGCTACATCGACATCACCCCGTCCGAGCTCGAGGTCCTCCGCAAGATGCCCGTCACCCTCAACTTCAGCACCGGCCTCTTCATGATCCCCCCTTCGGGCCTGCAACTCAAAGTCGCCCGCCACGCCTTCGGCTACCTCAACCCGACCGCCATCCCACACCCATCGCCCTCAACCCCGCCCTCGACAAAGTCAACAGTCTCCCTCCCCGCAACCCACCTCACCGACGCGAACCTCAAATTCCCCGCCGAAGGCGTCGCCGCCCTCCGCAAAGCAGTCCGCACCATCGTCCCCATCCCCGCCATCCACGACCGCCCCTTTGTCCACACCCGCCTGTGCTGGTACACCGACACCCAGACGGGCGACTTCCTCGTCTGCCACCACCCCACCGCCCGCAACCTCTTCGTCGCCACCGGCGGCAGCGGCCACGGCTTCAAGTTCTTGCCCGTGCTCGGTCGCGAAATCGTAAACGTGCTCGAGGGCCGCGGCGACGAGGTGTTTAGCGAAAAGTGGCGGTGGAGGGAGGTCAAGAGCAAGGCGGACGTGACGGACCTGTACGAGCACATCATGACGGAGGACGGGAGCCGAGGAGGTATCCCTGGTCTCTTGCTGAAGCAGGAGCAAGCAAAGTTGTAGACGCGAGAAACATAACATCCACCCATCCGGGTATATACTCATATCGATGTAGGTACATGCTGAATGTAGGTAGGTAGATACCATGTAGCAACCGTGGAGATAGAGCTGTTGAAAATGTATAGTCTTGAACTTGTGTCGAATGCTGCAGGGGACAAAACATGCGTTGAAGTAGCTGTTAGTCTCAAGATTGTTATACGCAATGAGCACATGTCAGAGTAATCAGTAGATGCAGTGGTTACTAGTCACCCTCACAGGACAGGCACAAGAATTGGAATAGAAACCGGGTGATGGCATTGTACTAAAAAATAATGCCGACTTGTCCACTCGAATCAAACTCGCAGACTAAACGTAGAGTAAGACTTGAGTGATCGGTCATGTCGCCTTAAAACTAGGCAACGTTCATTGCAAAACCGGTTTCCCACCTTCCACCAACAGTCCCTCCCGACCTACTGTCCAGGTGGCAACTTCAACTCCGTCCCATCCCCGTTATTCATCCCCCATTCGGTCTGAGACCCCCATGCATCTAAGTCGAGTCCATTAAAGAACGGCGAAAGTCGACCTGCGCATCTGCCGTCGACGGTGCCACGAGCAGTCTATGTAGTGCCGCGGAATGAGAAATCTTATTCTTTTCATTTCAATCAACCACCCGACCGGAAACTTCCGGCCCAGGTTACCTCCTGTACCAACGCCAATGCAATGCAGCAGAAAAAAGTGAAGCAGGACGAGTGTCAATGACTTGGGTCACGGCCTTGTTGCCAGGTGACGGACGCTCGATTTTTTTTGGATTGTGTGCGAAAAAGAATTCGTGGTATCGTGAAAAAAGGTTGTCTAGTCGTACAATGTCGGTTTTGATGTGTGTGGTGATAGTAGTACATCGACTGGGTCGATGACCTATCCTTGTGTTCAAGGGTCTGTTTAGACCTTGCGGAAATCTGGAGAAGAGTTAGTGGATAAAGGCTCGAAGTGGTGGAAAGGTACTTACCCTGAAGCACGGGATAGATCATCTCGAAGGCCTGGTAAATCTCCTCGCGCACCTTGGCACCGGTAAGGACGATCTTACCGCTGACGAAGATGAGAAGCACAATCTTGGGCTTGATCATGCGGTAGATGAGACCAGGGAACAGTTCAGGCTCGTAAGAACTGAAGTTGTGATGGCGCGAAGCGAGACCCTCCAAGCGAATGGGGAACTTGATATCGCAAGAGCCGACAATATTCTGAATCTTGAAGTCCGTGAACTTGGCGTTGAAGCCAAGCTTCTGGATGATACGGGCGTACTTGCGGGATGCAAGCTTCGAGTCATCCTCAGACTTGGCACCGGTGACGACCATCTTGCCGGAAGCGAAGATCAGGGCAGTGGTCTTGGGCTCACGAATACGCATGATGACGGCAGCGAAACGCTATGGATGAAGAGTCAGCGACAGTGTGACTTGAATCAAGAGTTGTCTCATCTCACCTTAGGGTTGTACTCTGCGTTTCTCGCATGCAGGGCAATCGTCTTGAGGTCCAGGCGGCAATCCAAGTTTACCGTGGCAACGATGTTCCTTGAGTAGGCGAGATAAGCCTCATTGAGCAAAAAAAAAGATCACTCGTGATATACATACTGCAACGTAGGAGTCAAGCCACTGCCACCCTGTGTCGCGGCCGGCGTCGCAGCAGGTGTCGCGGGCGTCACCCCGGTACCATTTGCAGGCTGCTGGCCGTTGGGCACAGGGATTTGTCCATTGACGGCCGCCTTATCGCCGTTCGCCTGGGGAGGAAGCTCGTGAGCGCCGCCGGGGAATGAGAGGGAGCCAGGCGCGGTGAAAGCCTTGGCCTGCGCCGCACTCGTGGGATGGGTCTGAATCGCCTCCATGATTGCGGTAGATGGATGATGACCTGAAACCGAGGGCAAGAGCAGATCTGAAGCCTTGCGAATTAGTCTCGTTTCTCGAAGCGATTGTAGTAATGATAAGGGTACGAAACGCTGCTCCAAGATTGGCGAATGTCAAGTGATAATGTAACGATGTGAAAGTGGATCAAGCTCGGCGATATTGTGTTGATGGGAAGTTTTGGTGAAGTGAAAGAGGCGGGATTATTTATGTTCGGAGGTTGGGGGGCCAATCACAAGCGCCAGCCACACCCCACCGCTCTGTGGTAGATGGAAAGACACGACAGAAATGGGTAGGCACATGGAGGAAGGCACGCCAACCATGATAGGAGAGGAAGGAAGAGGAAGGAGGGCATACCAGTCGATGGAGATGAACAAATAAATGTCTCCCCTACAATATCTGCTGGACAGTAGGTAGGTAGGTATGCGCGAGTATCTTGCGATGCGACTTTTTTGCGATCAGTGCCGAGCTTGTGACAGCGGCGGGTACGGGAGGCAAATGGATCAAGTGAGGTAGGTCGACGAGAAGGTCGTGGATTTCGTAGGCGTCGCTTCGGTGATGTCGCGAATGACCCAGATACCAGCAATCAACTCGACGTCTCTGGATACCTCGTCACAGTTCAAAGCACGGTGTCTCTATTCGGCGACGGCGCGTGCGATGTCTACAGAGTGCAGCGGACTCGTTCTCGACCTTGTGCGTCGTCGGAAGGGGCTCGCGCGGGAAGTTTGACGAAGATGTCTCGAAAGGAACGTATTCCAGTTCTTTTCTCGTCTCAGAGTACGAGATCCGGGGGGGACACTTTCAGTTAAGAAGGTATTCCGCCTGGAGGTTCTGAGGGTTGACGGGTTCGTCGGTTGGTTAATAGGGAGAGGAAGAGAGAGTAAAAGTCGACTTCCGAGATGTGGACACAAGAATCGCGACAGCGAGCTTTGTTGTCCAGAAGGATCGCGAGGAAGTAGAGGGTAGGTTGATGACAGCAGATGTGTCTATCGTGGATATCGGACTTGTGATGCTGCGATGACGATGACGACGCGAAATCGTATCTCTGAGTCGTGATTGGAGGATTGGGGATGGATTGAGTGGGGGTGGAGAAGGAAAATTAGAAAGGCCGAACGTGAATGGATGACTACGCAAGGCCGTCGGTCGGAGCTTCCGCGCAAGAATTTCGAAACAAGCGGGTTGGAGGGAGGCCTGCCTCTTTATAATTTTGGCCATGGCCTACCTGAGCAGTCGCCTCAACGACACCCCCCTGCCACACAACCCAGGGGCCCCAGGCAGCCAGTGCGCCGTGGCGGTTGGTCCTGCTTGACATTGCTCGTGCTTAGCGGCCACGCTAAGGGCCTGCACCCAATCAGCATCTCGGAAAATCTTCATTTTATCTCCTTCTTGTCCCCATGTACCCCTGCCGTGACCACCCCAGCCCCTGAAGTATCGCAGCACCGCGTCCAAGGTCTCTCTACTTTGCATTGTGAAATCCATTGATTTTCACCCAAGTCGCTCTTCTTTTTTCTTTTTTTCTTTGCGACAATGCATTCTGGCCAGTGCTTACCTTCCCAGTTCCACGCCTTCCAGTCTTTCTTGATTGAATCATTTGCCTCTCCTTGCGTTGCTTTGCCTCTCACTTGCCTCTGGCGCGCCCTTCTCACAGCTGCCAAACCTGCCACTGACCAGCTCTTGGACGTCCCTTTACCACAGAGGCTGAGATGCCCTTCCTGATGGATCCCATGTCATCATCATCTGCCATCTTCTGCCATCTTCTGCCATCCTCTCTTTTTTTTGTCTTGTAATCTGTTGCCCCGGAGCCTGCTTTCTTGCCCTTCTATTTTATCTTTTTTCCTTTTCTTTTTTGGCCATCGTTGCCCCCCCTGCCAGCTGTGACTCGACTCGCTTACCTTCCTGGCCCATCCCTGATGGCCACACTTTTTCCAGTCGGTCCTCCCTCGTTCTTCCGTCGACGCAACCCGGCGTGATCATCCACTCCGATCGCAAGCTCTTTTTTCTTCCTCGCTTTCATTTCGGACCTGTGGACAAACTGCGACCTTGATCTACCGCTTCCCCAACCACGAACATAGCTTTCACACACCTGTCAGAATGCGACACTCTTTTCATCACTACTCGCCACGGCCTCACGACGCGACGGGTCAGCACTCAGCAGCAACAGCAAAAAGACTGACATGACGGCGAAACCAACCACATCTGACAGAAGAATGACGACGATTTCATTCGCTCCAACCATGGGCTCAAACAGAGGACTCGGAACGAATGGCGCGTCTTCATTTGCTCATACCACGCAGTACGGACTACGGATGCCGCACCGCTCTGCATCCCGCGACAGCTCAGCCCAAAACCCTCCCAAAATCCAGCCGGGTAATAGGCCGTGGGCCGTGTCAAGACCATCTGGACGCCAACCAAATGCAAAATCCCACTGGCGGCGCTACCTCGTACGGGTGCCGCTACCACAAACGCTACCCGTAACCCACGACCTGCCGACCCATTCCGACATTCCGCTCGCTTCTTCCTCCTTCCCAGTCACGCCAGTCTGCCAGACCCGTCCGTCTGTCTAGCCATAGTCAGAGTACTCCCCGTACGGATACCGATATGTCCCAGGCAAGCCCAGCAACATGAACCAGGCAGGCACCAACAGGCTCCTCAGCGCCGCGTCAGTCATTCTCTTTGGCAGCTGCAGCACACCCACCACGACTCCAGGAGATCCAGAGTGGCAGAGCCCAACCACTGGGGGGTGTTGGCCTGGATTGACACCGACTGGGCCCCCCTTCCTTCCTCACCCCTTTCTGACTTGCCCCCCCTCCCCTCCCCCCTTTTTATGATTTTTTCCAATCCTCTCGTCCCAGCAACCCAAGGGTTTTCTCTCCTTCTTCCAACCCTCTTCACTCAGTCTCCAACCACACGCTAGCGCTCTGAAACGCTGAGCCTGCCCCCTACTTTGATGGCCTCACTGACGATCACCTCCGACACGAGCTCTGTCAGTGCAAAGCGGCGGCAGCGGCAAGAACAGCAACAGGAGTGAACGGCCTCGCCGTCAAACCTGTCAGAAGGGTCACCAGATCACGTTGTTGGCATGTCGCCCGGACGCGAGGACACGACACACAAACGCGGGGACCGAACAACAAGGAACAAAAGGGACCGTCATGACCACCAGGCAGGAACGCGAAAACGGCAGCTATTTTTCATGGCGCCTGCACTGCTTTCGGGCATTCGCGGCCTGTTGGCAGGAATTTATGGGCCGTGGCAGCAAACAGACGGCTTGCGAAGTGTGAGTCATTGACTTCAGACCGGCGGCTCCAATCGGCCAGTGGTCAGCCATTGGCAAGGAGGGAGACGGGAGACGGGAGACTGGGGAAAAGCATTGAGAAAAAGGGCTGGGTCTGCCAGTCTGATCAATGGTGCGTGTTTGTCGCTCGCTCGCCTCCCACTCCTCCCACCAGGCCCCCAGGCCCCCAGGCCCCCGCAACAGGACTGGCGCGTAAAGGTACTGGGTACGCGAGCCTTGCCACGCCGCGGCCCACCACTGGGGACTCTATCTCTATGGAACCCGAACTTTCGCCCGATGGAAAACTCTGTCTACACCCAGCCAAGATGGTCCTTTGGCGGCTTGCCTTTCCCCCCAAGAGACATGAACATCGTGTAAGTTCGCTCAACAACCGCCAGCACCTCTTCAACTCGACCTTTTGTGTCCGCTTGACGTCGCCCTAGCCCAAGCATGGCTGGGCGTTGCTTCGCCATGGATGCAGAGAAAGGGCGCTTGCAGCAATAATACAGATGCAAATTTTATTGCAATCTTACAACAAGGTATCGGGTACCAGGGCTCTCGCGAGACTGGGGCAATGGTCCGTGCACTCGGAAGTACCTCTGGATCCATCCCCAAGTCGAGGTACTTTGTCCACGTCTTCGGCTTTGCCCTCGCGACTCATGCATGTGTGAGCCCCATTGCTCCAAAACCTCAGGCCAAGTTTTTTCCTTTTTCTTTCACACCCCGACCTCGTGCTTACAGCTGCTGCTTGCTGGCGCTGCTTGCCAGGTGCTTGCTTTTCTATACGGTTTTAAGGCCGCATCTCGGCCTTGCGGGCCCTGCCAAAGCTCCATCGGTGCTGCGACTCATGCAACTTCAAACATCAAACTCATACTATGTAAGTCCGACAGCCTCGTTGGAACATGGAGGTGGCTTACCCTCACCCTCACCCTCGAACTTGGCACCACCACTCCCTGAGACTCTGTCACGCTGTATCACTATCCGCACCTACTTCGTATCCTATTTCTGCCTCCATCGCGACGCCCAAGGTTTGGCTGCCCATCGCACTGCAAATTCTCCTCGCTTTGGGCAGCGGCAGCGGTAGCAACTGACCTAGAGTTCCCAACTAAACGTAAGAAACCAAACAACCCCCAAAGAAGCTACACGACTCAATCAACTGGCACGCAAAGCACGCCATCAGACCGAGATCAAAATAAAGATTCAAAATAACGCTTGTCCAACTTGAAAGGACATACTCCAGCCACTGAGACGGGCACTGAGCCCGCATTCTCGAGATCTTGCAATGTGTCCCGTAGACAAGTCTTGGGCTCCCCTCCTCCCCGTTCCAGCCTCGCCCAACGCATGGAGTTCATGAACCACAAGTGTCTCGCAAGTTCGCATCACACCCTTGGTTGTCTCCGATGTCGTTCCCTTCCACCCCCTTCCCACCTCCCCCCCCCCATTCCCGCATTCCGCCCGAGTCGGGGTCTACCTCCGATCGGGTACCACTACGCACAGTCGCAACTTGAGCACGACCTGGAAGAAATGTTATTTTCCTGCAGGGACTCTCTCTCTCTCTCTCTCTCGCGCGCGATGTGAGTGTCGACTTGATTCAGCAATGGCCCATCCCTCCACCTTTCCGCTCTTCACGTATGGGTACGCAAGTACATATTATCTTCATCCATACCATACCATCCATCATCAATCACGAGCCGACGGGAACGACGTCGCGACAGTCGGGACCCCTTGCCTTTATCGCGCCCCTTTGTCTTTCCAGAACTTCTCTCCGTCAATGCAGGCAAGGACGTGTTGGGCATTCGTCTGATATGCCACACACTCGGCACGCGCGCACACACACGCTCCAAGTCGGGGCTAGCTTGCCAGCCCAGACGGGAACACTCGCGTGTCGTCATTCAATACAAACTGAACTTGGTGAAGTAAGGGTACCGTTGCAATCCTTCTTTACCGATGCGGACCGATAAGGATATCCGTACTGCGTAGTCAATTGCTGTTGCTGTTGCTGCTGCTAATGCTGGTGGTTTGGATTGCTAGACGGTCTTTGCGAAATCACATGGCAAACCTCCAAATTTTCTTTGTCATGATATTTTGCCTTGTACTCATAGTGGACCGGATATTCCGACTGCAAATACAGCATGCTCCCTATACCAGTAACACAACACCCCATTGACACCGGTATTGTATTCGGGAAGAGGCTTCTATACGTTCAAAGCCCATACTCTCAGCCACCCCTTGCATATCTCGTATCTCCTCCGCTGTCTTGAGTACTATCGTATGAATAGATCCCTGCTCGACCGGTAGATAGTCCTTGGTTGATCTGATAAAAAAAGATATGACGGTCTTTGACCACACAGATGACAGCCTTTTTTGTCCGGTAGTAGATACTCCCAACCATGATGCTGACGGATATACAAAAATCGTCTCATGACATGTAGTACTTGGGACCCTCGCCGCCCTGCGGGACCTGCCAATTAATATCCTGGTTCGGCGCCTTGATGTCGCACGTCTTGCAGTGGATGCAGCTGTAGACAATAGAGTCAGTCAAACGTCCTTTCGTGGTAGCAGAGCAATAAAGGGGAGGAAAACGTACTTTTGCGCGTTAATCTGGAACCGCACCCCAAGCTCCTTGGTCTCGTCCTCAACATACTCATACACGCCAGCCGGACAGAACCGGTTCTCGACGCCCTTGAACTTGGGCCACGTCTCCCGCGTGTGCTTCTCCCAGTCCTTGACCTGCAGGTGCACCGGCTGGTCCTCCTCGTGGTTCGTGCCCGTGCGGCTGACGCTCGTGAGGATGTCGAACGAGATCTTGCCGTCCGGCTTGGCGTACTCAATCTTGGGGAACTTGTCCGCGCTGCCCGTCGCCGCGTGGTCCGGCGTCTTGTGCTTCAGCGTCCAGGGGACGCGACCTTTCAGGACGTACGCCTCGAGGCCGGAGTAGGCGATGCCTCCGTACAGGCCCAGCGGGGTGTGGAATGAGGGGCGGAAGTTGCGGACTTCTTTGAGTTCTTTCCAGATGGAGGATTCACGAAGCTTGTCTTCGTAGTCGTACAAGAAGACGGTGTCGCGCGGCTTCTCCTCGGCGTCCTCTCCCTCCCCCTCCTCCGCTACCGCGCTGCTGCTGGACGACGAGGAGAGTGCGTTAAAGGCGGCCTCGGCGGCGAGCATGCCCGACTTCATGGCATTGTGCGTACCCTTGATCTTGGGCAGGTTCACGAATCCAGCCGAGTCGCCAATCAGCGCGCCGCCGGGGAACGCGCATTTGGGGATCGACTGGAACCCGCCCTCAATCAGCGCACGCGCGCCGTACGTGAGGCACTTGCCGCCCTCGAGGACCTCCTTGTACATGGGGTGGTGCTTCATCTTCTGGAACTCGCCGTAGGGCGAGACCCAGGGGTTCTCGTAGTCGAGCGCGACGACGAGGCCGATGCTGACCAGGTTATCCCCAAAATGGTACATCCAGCCGCCGCCGTACAGGTCCTTGGACAGCGGGTAGCCCATGGAGTGCGTGATGGACCCCTTTTGGAACTTTTCCGGCTGCACCTCCCACACCTCCTTGATTCCCAGCGCGTACGTCTGGTGCTGGCTGTCGCGGCGCAGGTCAAACTTCTTAATGATCTGCTTGCTCAGGCTGCCGTGGCACCCCTCGGCGAAGAGCGTGCAGCGCGCGTGGAACTCCATGCCGCGCTCAAAGGCGTCCTTTGGCTTCCCGTCGCGGCCGATACCGAGATCGTTTGTCGCGACGCCCTTAACGCTGCCGTCAACCTCGTTGTAGAGCACCTCCGACGCGGCGAACCCGGGGTACACCTCAACGCCGAGCTCCTCGGCGCGGTCGCCCAGCCACTTTGTAAACTGGTTGAGCGAGACAATGTAGTTCCCGTCGTTGTGCATCTGCGGCGGGGTCGGGAGGGGGATCGAGGCCGACTTTGTGAGGAAGCGCATGCGGTCGCCGCCGGCGGGCGTGGCGTACTCGAAGCGGTCCGGGTTGTCCTCGGACAACCAGTCCGGGATGAGCTCGTCAATGGCCGTGGGCTGGATGACGGCGCCCGAGAGAATGTGGGCGCCCATCTCGCCGGCCTTTTCGAGTAGGAGGACGCGGAAGTCTTCGTTGCCGGCTTCGTTGGCGAGCTGCTTGAGTCGGATCGCGGCGCTGAGACCGGCGGGGCCTGGAGCGTTGAAGGCATTGTCAGCTCAATTGGGATCTAGACACACAAGATACATAGCACGAGGGCGTGGGGAGTAGACTGGTTCCGTACCGCCGCCTACAATGACAACATCGACCTCATCTGCTTCACGCTCAATCGTTGCCGGATCAAATTCGTCGTCCTCATTGCTTCGTCGTGTCCTACTCGTCGTGAAAGTGCGTGCGCCAAGAGGCCTGAAGATTGCGACGCCAGCAGAGCCCCGTGTAGAAGGTATCCTGCCAGTCGTGCTTCTTGACTGGGTTGTTGAGCTGGTGGTAGCCGTGGTGGCGAGTCCTGCTTGAGCGGGACGTGTAGCCCGGAATCGACACCTTGAGAGGTTGCGCGTGCTGCGCTGAAGACTCCTCGCGAGAGGTGACGCCGAGGTATTCATCTTGTCTACGGAAATATGTGCGCGAGCGTATGTGTATGCTGTACGTGATCGTGTCGTAGATTGGGATTGTCCCTTTCTAGTGAACCGGACTACCGCAAGGAACGTCCAGGTCGGCGTGAGCGTACCTAGGTTCGCTGCGTTCCCTCGTGCGCTTTGAGAGAGGGAAGCCGAGGGAAAGCTAGTGACGCGGGCGCAATTGGTGTTTCTCTCACTGGACCAAGTCACCTTGTGGTTCGTCAATTGGGCGGTGGTGCGGTTCAAAGTCTAGCAGCGAAACCTGGAGAAACAAGAAAAAAACGGCGGCGGATCCTTTTCAATGACACTGGGGGATCTTGACGAGCTTCGTTCCCTCCCCCGTCTCTAATACGTAATGCGAGGGGTGGTCAAAATGCTTGTACTTGCCGCCCACCAGCTCGGGCCCTGTGGTTTCCTGTGGGTGGTGATAGCCGAGAGAAACCGGTCGGTGGTGTTTGGACTCGGTCAGTACTTGGGCAACGCAGCCATCTGTAGCTCAACAGCCAGGTAGACTCTCGGTATCCTTGGATGCTCTTTTTACAGCTGAAAGGTACCTGCGTATCAATGGCCGGGAGAAGCCGAGTGACTCCAGGCAAGTCGAGTAACCGTCGGACGCTGCAAAGAGTTTAACGTCTGGGGCGCCGAGCTATAACCGTCCAATCACCGCCTGCAAATTTCAAATGTGAGCTGGGTCCCTCCGATGTCGTTTCGGCTGCAGGGGGAGCTGATGCCGTCGGCGTAGTCTTCATTTTGGCCGAAGACAGAATGAGGTGTTACTGAGAAATTGGGAACAAGACATTTGTGGGCGCATTTACTCTGTGCAATTCTATATAATTACTGGGGGTAGTCATGCCATGTTTTACATGACGCTATTGACGCTGTTACTCTTTTTATACACCTTCAAGCGCTACCTTTTCAACCTTGGGTTCGAGTTGGCGCTATGGTCTTTGGTGTCGCTGCATAGCTGGGAGGCACATCTTCCTCTCTGGTGCCCCAATCACTCTCCTTCGTGCCGACGGTCAGCTCCAACACACCGCCATGGTAGAAGAACTCGTGGTTTATCCAATTCTTCGTGTACGGTTTTCCGTTCAGAGTGGCGCTCTGAATGTAGATACCCTCGGCAAGTTCTTTGTCATCCTTTGCGACCTTTCGGATAACAGCGGGCTTAGGACCCCGGCTCTTAAGCCGCACCTCGGGGAAGAATGGCGGGATGACGAGGTACACGTCCTGCCCCGCGACGGGGAAGAACCCCATCATGGCAAGCGCACTGAAAGCACCCATTGCACAGTCATCATTGCCAGGGATGCCGTTGATCGTGGCGTTGAACTGCGAAGGAATGTAGCTTCGTGTTGTGCGCGAGCTGAGGCCGGGTCTACCCGCATAATGGAATTGGAACACCGTAAGGAACGCCTGTTCGTTGCCCATGTAGACAATGTTGCCGCTGTGGTAGTATTCGAGCCTGTCGACAAACGCATCCCGACCTCCCATCAGCTTGATCAAAGTTGCCATGTCTTGCGGTGCGAAGAACGAGTACAGCCAGGGTGAGCCCTCGTATGTCGCCTGGGCAGTGTCGAAGTAGCAGAGATGCTGTTCGGTATTGGGTGAGCAGACACGCGTGTTCTGGTACGTAAACGAGCCATTCATCAACTTCGGCATCAGGAATCCTGTGTACTTCGTCCTCTCGATCTCCTTCTTGTCCTTGTCTTGGATAATGTCCTCTTGGGCCGGATTCCAAAGGTTCTGCCAGTTTGCGCTGCGCTGCATGTACTTCTCAAAATCTTGCTTGTGGCCGAGTCCCTGGGCCATCTCGGCGATGCAAAAATCGTCGTAGGCGTACTCGACGGTCCGAGAGATAGACCTGCTGTGTGGACCGGTCGATACTTTGTCCATATGGTCCTGTGCGATATATCCCAAGCCAAACCAGCTTTGCAGATTACCGCGGCCTTCGACGCCATAGTGCTGCGGTGCCACTGAAGAACTCATGTTAAAGGCTGCTTCGTTGTAGGAATCCCAATCACATACCTTCGGCATCAGAGACCACGGCCTCGTATGCGGTCTTCCAATCAACCCCGTTGGTCATGTTCTTCAAGTATGCATCTGCGATCACGATGTCCGCGTTCGAGCCTCCTTGGCTAAACCCCTTGCAAAAGGACATTCTGCAGTCTGGAAGTTTTCCAACAAATCTGAAGATATCTAGCAGTGTTCGTACCATCTGCGTCTGAGCTTCTGGGTCTATGATGGTTAGGAGTGGATGCTGCGCTCGGAACGAATCCCAGATGCAGTAGAACGAGTCAAAGTACGGTTCGGACGATTCCCATAACGGGTTCTCGCCAGTATAGTTCTGCGGTGACAGCAGGCTTCGGTACAGACCCGACCAGAATACGGTCTTCATGTCTTCACTGACGCCTTCCGTGCTGACATCCACCGTTGAGAGCTTTTCAGCCCAAGTTGATTCCGCAGCACGCACAGTGCCGTCAAAGTCGAATTTGGGGATATCCCTCTCGGCATTCTCGCAGGCTTTGTTGACAGAGATAAAAGACAGGCCGACTCTGGCAAGGATCTGGTTGTTCGTGGGACGCTCAAACTGTAGCCATGCGCCAGCGGCACCGGTAGGGTTGTGAATGCCACGCGTGAACTCGGCTAGATATTTGTCTGTCACGCGCGGGTTGTCCCCCTCGAAAACGCCGGATTTTCGAATAGGAGCGCCCTGGAAATCGGCGCAGAAGAATGCCCTATAGCTGCCCTGACCGAAAGAGGGTCTGAAGGTGCCGTCGCCAACGACACGGCCAGACTCGTACACTTGAATGCCTCCGCTCGATCTGCTCTGGGCAATGTCCGTGAGGTCAATGAGGATCAACGGACTACTCACGACTTCAACCACGTTGAGGTCCGCTGCGTTTTCGTAAGATACGGTGTCGTTTGGTGAGAAGTTGAAGCGGAAGAGAGTTGTCCGTTCCCCTGCCGTCATCTCGGCGCCAACATTGTTGGAAATATTGACCGCAAAGTAGCCTGGACGGGCCACGACAGAGTCATTTACACGCCAGAGGCTTCGTGATTCTGTTGTGAAGTTGCAGGCCATGTAATCATCATTCGGGCACCCTGGATGAGGGAACAGAGGGAAATTGCCTAGAGAAGGTGACTGTTCGAAACGTAAGTAAGACAGCATAGAGCTGGACCGGTGAAATGAGTGATTCTTACACCTCCGGTTCCTGTTCAAGGGTCATCAGCATGGTGATTAGATGAGCAGATTTTGCGATGGCTTACCAGAGTCATGTAAATGAGAGAAGCCGGTAATTTTGGAGTTGTCAGATACCCAGCCAGCCGCATTCTCGGCTCTAGAGTCCGTGTCTGCACAGGCTTTGGCCATTCCTAATGAAAAGGTCAGAGAAAGATATGGGTCGCGACTAAAGGTGCTGTATCACTTACCATATGGTAGCGATGCGCCAGGAAACACATGACCTGAGGTTTAGTCAGATATATACCAGAGCACATTGGACAACCTGACCGACCTCCGTTGGTAGTTCCGATTAATGGATCGACATATCTCAGTACGGCTCGCTGTGCTCTGAAATCGGACTTGGTGCTGATTAGGTTGATGAAGCCTCGTGTTCCCGAGAGAGGCCACCATAGGACTAGACAGATGACAACAGTAGCAAATACCGCCAGTCGAACAGGTCGGGAAAGACCGATGGCTGGGACGAGGAGGGCCATCTTAGACTGAGGTCAAAGGTCGCCGCCCGAGTAATGACCAGTAGCCACCAGATGCCCTCAAATCCAGAGTTGAAATAGCTGAACAGAACTTCTGCCCATCAGAATGCCTCCAGGGCCGGACGAAGACTAGCTCGCCGAAGTGATTGATCTGCTTATGCGGTCATGGGGATGTGATCTCGACAAAAACCTGGCGATGAGTTAGTGCATGTCTGTGAGGACTGCCCGGATCACACCACACCGAAAGGATTGTAATTGTTGATAAAAGTGGTGGAGGTTGAAAGTTGATGGCGAAGAAGTCAGAGCTGCAAACTTAGTGGAGAGGGCTCCCAAAGGTAGACTAAGGGGATAATTGAGTGTCTCTGGTTTGGCCTGACGTAGGTACGGATAGCTAGTTGGAGCTTGGTAGGGGTGGATAGCATTCCTTGGTGTGCGTGCAACTCGGTTCGGAAAGCGACGACCGACGAAATGGACAACAATTTCAACTTCAGCTGAAGTCAGAAGTCAGGCAAGTCTCGGCAGCTCGTGCTTTCGCTCCGTCCCTTTGGTTCAAAGCGGATTCATGCAGCAAGTGCGAACGATAATGATGAGATTCCAACGGTTAGGTTCGAAGCTTCAAGGCACATGCCGCGGAAGGGGTAACAGGACACATGTTGCGAGAGATGTGGGCAGGCAGTCCTTGTTTAAGAAGCCCTCCAAGTCGTACTATAGTCTGTAGCAATTCGCCCCGACGGGATGGATGGATGGGGACAAACAAGGGTTCTATTTTTTTTCTTCCCCTACAAATACCGTGTTACTCCATGTCTCTACGCCTCCTGAAGTGTCTCGCTCTGGAGCCACCAGCCCAAAACGGTAACCTTGTCGACGCCATACGCAGTAGAGCAGCTGGGCCACCAATTGACATGATGGATCATATGCAGCTGGCCGGCCCTTTTCCGAGATGGCGATACCTACGGAGTACTACCTAGGGATACAAGCTTGGCGCCCATTTGGACAGCGGAATCTCTGCTCCAAAGTCCAAGTACGGCTAGGGCTGAGGGGGAAATAGGCCATGGAGGTGTTGAAATCTGGCCCGAATAGCGTACCATGTCGTGTCTGCAGGATGAAGCGACGCCAAATCAAGCAGGTCTGACGGGCTGACGGGCCAAGGTAGTGCAGCTGCAGAGCCTGAAGAGTGATGGTGGCCGCATTGCAGTAACCTTGCTCCGAGGTGCTTGAATTACCAACCCGGTCGTCACAAATAAGGTTAAATGTTAGTGCAATTTGTGCCGAGTCGCCGAGTCAGCCGTCCATAAGCCATTTTTCACAGAAACGCCGCCAGAAATACTTCCCATAGTGTACAACACTCTGTGACTCCGTCTCCAAGACAAAGAGCCACGTGCTCCGAGTTGGCCCCTTCCACAACGCACCGTTTCTTTTGATCATCATCTTCTTCCTCTACTCTCTTCATTGGCATGCCTTCATTCTCACACTGACGCTTCGTGGTCCAAGACGTATCAGTCCGAGATTCTGTAACGGTCAGGTCCGTTATCGCGCCAAGTCTCTCGGTTTGCTAGCCTTGTCACATATCCTGCGACTACCTCAGAAGTCGAGCATAGATCATCCCGACTTGGCTCTGGTTTCCAATGGAAAGTCCAAGCGGACTCTCTCCGCGCTCAGCTCCACCACGAGCACATTCTGATGGTAGCTCGGTACTACGACCCCAGATACATCAACAGAAAGCTTCTGGAACACGTCTTCGGAGCGACTTTTGCTCGAACAATCCGGTCCGACAGCGCAGTGGACCTACCTCCTCCACCCATCCATCCCATTCAATGCATACTGCGTCTTCCTTCATCGGAGGATACCTGCTCACCACCACCACAATGCACGGCGCCGAGTGGCTGCCGTTGGGCTAACGTTACCGCTTCGTAGCTGGAGATCCAGCTGCTGCATGAAGGCGGAGAACCCTGCTCCTCCATCCTGCCATCCTGGCTCCAACTGCCTCGATTCATTCTTGACCTCTCCCACCGGCTATTCTGGAAGCTTGAGTCGGGGACAACCCTTGTCTGTCAAGAAGCGTTAGGGTCCCATCAGCGTTTGAGAGCCAGCCCATACGGACTATGCCTATCTATTCCCGCTGCTCTCTTGAAGCTCGTTGGCGCATTCAAAACGCAACTCATGGCCTGAGCTTCGTCGACAGTCTGGGCTGCCCGATGCTAAAACGTCGTGGGAGCCCGTGGACTCTCTTCCACAAACTTGCGCGTTGGGTTTATTCTTCAACCTACCCACTTCACCCGGAATATCTTCTTCGTCCTGGTCTTTTTCCCCTTCTCGTCCCCCACTTTGGCGTACTGGCAGACTTGCGGTGGGCACACTAACAAGCAAAACGACATCATTTCCTCCTGCAATACGACAACGTTCTCTTATTAGTCTCCATATACAACGTTTCCTCCCCCGCATCTTGATCACTTCCCCCGCTCATCATCCAAGGTCACGCGAACTAAAGTCCATCCTTGGGATCAGAGGAACATGAGGACCCGGACAGGCACTTGACCAACCCCTCTCCGGCTGTTTTTTTTTATTTTTATAATGATGCCCTGTCCGCCGAGGGCCAGGTATCGCGACGTCCGGCGGTCGTGACCGCAACCTCGTTGGAAAAACACCTTTCCATAGTCATCATGGCCCTCTTATACGGCCTCGCCTTCGCCGGCCTGGCGGCAGCTAATCTCAGACCCGACTGTCCTCACTTCACCGACTACGCGGCAACGCTTCACGAACCCTTCTCAGAAGGCGTCCATAAGCTCGCCTACCAGCGTCCCCCGCCAGAATGCCGCACGGCCAGTTATCCCGAGGTCGAGAAGACCATCACCGAGATGAAGGCTCTCGTGAAAGATCCGGACCTCTATCGTCTCTTTGAGAACACATTCCCGAATACTCTTGACACTACCGTCGCTTGGACCGGTGCTGCCGAAGACAACGCAGACGAGGAGCTCAGCTTCATCATCACGGGTGACATCAACGCGGAATGGCTCCGGGATAGCAGTAACCAGCTGCAGAGCTACCGCTCTCTACTTACACGCAACTCCTCGGCAGGTTCTCTCGCGGCTCTGTACCGCGGCGCAATCAACCTCCAAGCTCGCTACGTCCGCTTCGCGCCTCACTGCAATGCCTTCCAACCGCCAGAGGAATCCGAAATAGCTCCAGCAGACAACGAGGCCGGCGGCGCGTCAGACCACATCTACCCACAGTACCCGACTTACTCCTTCTTCGAATGCAAGTACGTAGATCCCCCCCTCCACCTCCTCTGTCTTGTTCCTCAGACCCTCGAGACTCCGTCCAACTAACACGGCACATCAAGATACGAGCTAGACTCCCTCGCCGCCTTCCTCCAGCTCTCCCACGACTACCACGCTGCCACAGCCGACAAGGACTTCTTCGCCCGCTTCAACTGGTCAAAAGCCGTCGCCGTCCTCCTCAACACCACAGACGCCCTCCGCACAGGAACCTACGCCGCAGACGGCACCCTCAACCCCTCCCCGGCCCTCTTTGAGCGCCGCGCCGTCTCCGCCTCCGAGACCTTGTCGAACAGCGGCAACGGCGCCCCGACCCAGGCCGGCACGGGAATGGTCCGTAGCTTCTTCCGCCCCAGCGACGACAGCTGCATCTACCAGCTCTTCGTCCCGGCCAACATGATGTTCGCGCGCTACCTCGACTCGTGCGCCGAGATCATGGACGGCATCGACGCCAGCCTCGCCGAGCGCATGAGGGAGTCGGCTAAAGTCGTTCGCGAGGGCATCGAGGCGCACGGAAAGACGACGCACCCGAAGTTTGGCGAGATTTACTCGTACGAAGTCGACGGCTTCGGTAGCTACAACATTATGGTCAGTCCCTCCCCTTCTTCCCAGCCTCACTAACACCCCTTTCCGTCCATCCGCCTCCTTGTCATCTAACCCATAAATCCCAGGACGACGCCAACATCCCCTCCCTCCTCTCCGCCCCTCACTACGGCTACCTCTCCGCCTCGGACCCAATCTATCAAAATACCCGCCGCTTCGTCCTCTCCACCTCGAACCCCTACCAGATGCGCGGTCCCGTCCTCAACGCCACCGGCGGCCCCCACATCGGCCCCGGCAACGCCTGGCCCATGGCCCTCATCGCCCAGCTCATGACCTCGGACGACGACGACGAGATTGCCGGCGGTCTGCGCCAGCTCGTCGCCTCCACGGATCGTCTCGGCCTCATCCACGAGTCTGTGAATAGCCACGACGCTTCCAAGTGGACTCGATCTTGGTACGTCTTGTTTTTTTTTTTTTTGCAGGAGTCGTAGTACATGCTGCACTTGCACTCCCTTCCCCCTGATATTGATATTTGACTGGTAATTATTTGCTAACGGGTATCCGCAGGTTCGCGTGGGCCAATGGTCTCTTTGGACAGATGATGCTGGATCTGAGAGAGAGAAAGCCGCATCTGCTTGAGAGGAGTTATCAGTAATGCGGTCGACATGCTGCTGCATGTGTCATATAGTACCGATGATGTTCTATACATGTTGTTTGGGGGAACGACCGCTGGCAATGTTGCCCCTACATAGCAAGGCCGCTAGATATACGAACACATTCTAGCTAGTATAGTAGATATGCAAAGAGAGTGATCATCAAGGGTTGACATCGCATCCATAGACCAAAGACTCTACGCTTCGGTCACAACTCTACGTATCTTTTCGCAGAGCATTGGAATAATACATTTGCATTTTCGAACACTAGCGATCTGCTCTATCTTGACTTCATAACGTCATGAATGCCCGCCCAGCCACACTCTTAAAGGCAACCGCTCGCTCAGCTGAGATCGAAGCCAGCTCCCGAAGAAACCGCATAGAGCAGCTTCTGTCTGAGAGTCTCTTGGTCCTTGTAGCGCGGCAGCTTCAATAAGTTGACACACGTGCTGGTACTGGGCAGTCTCTCCTGATCCTCTCCTCCATCCCTGATACTGAACCGCGGGCTCAGCTGTGAGAAGCCTAGCAATGGTGCGCGGGGCGTACTCGTAACGTACTTGAGCACGTCTCGCCGTTCCCGGTCGGAGAAATTGGCCATGACTTTCCAGAACAGCTGTACCGTGGGGTGCTCCAGTCCGTCGTCTCCAATCTCGTACAAGCCTGAGTAGACCGTGTTCTGACGCAGATCTTCAATATCGATTTCGGAGCTGTCGCCTCCCACGAGACGCTGCAACTCGTTTTGGTTGAACATTGAAAGCCACGCAGGGGCAATGATTGAGCGAAGACCTCGAAGGAAGGCGGCCGTTTGCTGTGCAGGTTGGGCAACGAGGCGGTGACGGGCAACGTAGGAAATGTAGAGGAGGCGGTTATCGTTGGTAACGGTAACATTCTCACCATTTGGGATCAGATTCCGCGTGACAGTGCGAACAGGTTCCCCTGGCAAAGACACCTGATCATTAAGCGTGAAGTCCAATGCCCAATCCGCAACATTCCCGTTGTGGTTCTTGAGGCGTAACATGCCCTGGTACAACTCCTCATCGAGGTCCCTTAGGTCGTTCACATTGCCCCGGTAGCTGTTCTCTCCAGTCTGGCCCGAGATCCATTTCAAGAGAAAGAAGCCAGCAAATGCAATGTCGACCAGAATTCCTTCGTACATGCACTTGCCTACAATCCGGCCGAGAAACTCGAACTGGCGGAGTAGGCTCTGAACTTGGTCTTGCCATTCGGCTGAGCGTTCTGGAACTCCAGCTCGTTTCAACACCTGCCTGAGCTCGTCCATTGCAGTCGGGTTGGGGTATAAGAGCCCCTTGCTGTTGGCCGTGAAAAGCGAAATGCCATCCCTTGGCCCGAACGCTTCTGTCGTGACGCTTGTGAGGAACTCTTTCGTAACTCCGCCACCATCAATGCCAGCTTCGACCGTATCGAATTGGTCGACAAATTGGATCTGTATAGGTTCTTTGAGGCCTTCTCCAAGCTCATAGAATTGCTCAAAGGCATCCTTAAACACCTGGCCTCGTCTGATTTTGCCATGATGTCGCCCAGCTGGACTGCGTCCGGGGGAACGCAGAGGATTGTGCAGCATCGTCATTCTCCACTGATCAGCATCCATGCCCTCCCTCCGCTTGTGTTTGTCAAGATAGACGAATTGGCGGAAAATCTGGACACGGGTATCGAATGGAATGACAAATGGCATGTGTCTCAGTATCTCCAGCTTCGGCCCGATCACGGCGAGTAGACGATCCCTCTGTGCTTTGCGTTGTTGAGCCCGGAGCTTCTCGATTTGCGCATGTCGTGATACTCGCTGTCCGGCCACGGTGTGAATAATGCCGCTGTGCAGCCCTCCCAGGTTCGCATCTTCATCAACCTCGCCGTCTTCGTCGTCACTAGAGTCGGAGACTTCGTTCTGTCGTTCTTGTTCAGCGACAACAGCACTGACAAACCCCTCCATATCAAATTTCGATGTCATGAGCCAGTGGTCCCGGGGCAAAAATGGCCGTCGGGAATCTCGTTCGTACAAAAGTCGCAATGCCGTGGTCACGATACTACGCAGGCTACCGAGGTCAAGTCTAGTGTCGGCCGCGTTGGCTCTTGAATCTTGACTTCGGGCCTCCTTCGAAGTTTTAGCGGTACTGCTACCGCTTCCAAAGTACGACTCAAGTTGCGTCATCGAGATCGGCTCGGAATGTTGGATGCCTTGTAGAATGTCCGCAGCGTTGTAATGTAGCGTGAAAGCTAGGTGCTTCAGTACAATGGTCAAGTTCTTCACCTCGTTGAGAGAAAGTCCGCATGCTCGCAGACGAGACGTTGGCCCCTCGGTTTTGATTATATCAGGGAAGATACCACTGAAGAAGTCTTCGTCGTCGCTCAAACGTAGAATAAAGATGTAGAGCTCGAGGAAAAGAAGGACTAGTCTCCATTCTTGCTCATGTGAGTCACTCGACTTTGACGACTTTGACAAGTAGTCTCGCAGCAGGGCTTGTACCGATGCCGAGTTCTGCAAAATCTGCTTGTAAATGGTGGTCTGGCTCATAGCCTGCCAAAGGAACTGGATTGTCGGCAAACTTCCCAAACCCGTGCTAACATCTCCTAGGAAGAGGCGCATACGGATATCGTCGCCCTGACTTGGGAAACAACGGAGAAGAGTGAGGATGTACCCAGACAGCAAGCTTGCGCTTTGGAACTCGTGACTCGAGGATTGAGAACCAAAATTACTGGGAAATGTGAGCGAGCTTCCGGGTAGGAAAGGGATTCACTTACGTAGTGAGCTCAGCCAAGAGCGCTGATATTCCATCTCGGTTGACCAGAGATGTGAGCTGATTGGTGATGTATGCAGGCAAAGGGCGGATCAACGACTCATCAGGGTTGCTAGAATCCACATTCGTCGAGGCCGGATCGGCTGCTCGAACAGATAGCCTCAAGCTGATTTCTGTGGACAAGCTCGAAAGTTGTATATGCAATGCGTCTAGGTGCTTAAGCCCCTGATTCTTCGGTCCAGCCCTTTGGTATAAGCCAACAAAATGTGCAAGAAGCCAAAGTTGGGCTTCCCGTTCAACACCGCGTATCCGTCCGTCGCTATAGAGTCTTTTGATGGCTGAGGCGAGTCGATCGGATTCGAGGTTTTCAGATATCACTTTCGAGTGCTCCTCGACAAGATACAGGTCATGACGAGTTAAGAAGAACAGCGCAAATGCCTCGTAAGCGGCCACCAGATACTCGTCAGCGGATGCAGCTTGGAGCGGCACGAGGAGAGCTTTCGAAGTCGCCTCCAAAGCTGCCGTTTCCATCTCCGGTACTCCACATACTTCTGTCAGAGCTGTATAGTACTGTCGGAATGATTTAGAAAGCGCATCGGGGGCAACGCTTATGATGTGCGTTAGGAGGCTGAGAAAGAGTCGGGTCTCGTTGCTTTTACTACTAGAGGCAGCGTTAGTCGACATCGAGCGTTGTCCAGATAGTGAAACCAACGATTTCTTTGTTTGTTCGCCTAGAGCATCCACGAGTATCCGAACAAGACGTGCCAGCCTGGTTGCAGGAAGGTGGCTAGGGGCAAGGCACTCGAGGTTGGTCGTGTTTAGTTCTCTCGCAAAGAGCACCAAACGTTCAACGTCGTCGGGTCGGGTCTGGAAGGTTGTCAACAGCAGTGGCAACGCCGTCGCTAGTCTCTGCTGTGTACCAAGGTCCGAGGTGCTCGAGTACAGGCTATCAAAGGCGTTCCGGCGAGAGTCTCGAAGCCGCCTCCTAACCCTGTGGCCCCTCCATGTTTTCTGGATCTTTTCGGAGGCTTTCAGCCTGTCTCGGTCCTGCTGTCTCTGTGCGCGATCGGCTTGGGCGTTGGAAACGGTCTTAGAGGCTCCTGAGCCTGCGGCAGGCGTCCATGATGTTGCGGCAAAGGGATTGAGGTTCTGGCCACTGAGGTTCACATTCCGGGGGCGTCGGGAGTTGCCCGTGAAGGTGGGAAACATGTTTCCTCGGAGAAACGATGCCTAGTGAAAGAAGTGAAAATGGTAAGGTTGTACCATGTCAAGAAGAGATTCGCAGAACCAGCAAGGTGCAAGTAGCTGCGAGGGTGGAGGGTGAGGAAGTCGCGAGCGCGGTTGACTTCCAGAAGCTTCAGCACGTTCGGACGGGGTCTATGTAATCGAATTGTCACTGGAGGGGGATTCACAGGCTTGGGCATCGGCTGTGGTGGGGTCTACCTTAGTGTAGTCTCTCGAGGTGCCTGGCTTGGTGAGGTAAGCTGGAGCTGGTCCCAGCGTCAGGTTGTGGAAGGTTCCGATGTGACGCGAGCAGGCACGAGCTTTCTGGCTTGCGTGGTGGGCCCTGGGACCTGGGGATAGCAAGGTCAGGTACGTACCTTACCTTGGATAAGAGAATGGGGGCGGTTGAGTCCAAGCGTCGCCCCCTTGCACCCTGGCATCCGGGGAGGAGCACACAAACCGACGTTGACCTAATTGCTGCTGGTTGGCCATAATCATGGTGGGCATTTCTGATGACATCGTTAGAGATGGATGGACCTGGCGATGAAGGGTCACAACAAAAGAAAAGACAGGTGGTAAAACTCAGTAGCATCAACATACGGCTGTCGCAGAAACTGGAAGTCTATCATGACCGTGTTATGCTTTCAAGACACGGCTGACTCGGATTTCCGTCTCTTTACTCGCGCAAATGTCGGTGAGGATGCCAGCCCAGGTGAACCCGTATAAGGAAGGTACCCTGATGTAGAAAAGCTGAAGAGTCGTGCGAAAAGCATCCGAGTTGTTCCTTTCTTAGGGAAAATTACGCGATGTGGTAGTAGACTTTTGTCAAATCATGATAATTGCAACGGACTCTGCGCGCATGAATACCTCTATACAAAACTACAAACTCGTTGCACGAGCATTCATCCGGGCTCTGATAATCGTCTGTTCTCTTGATAGGATACCAAGCATTGGCCGGGAGGAGATGGGCCGCGGTTAACAGACTCTGGGGCTATACGGGTACAGATTTGCAGAGGAAGCCCGCCGCGCGCATGTTGGTAATTCCACTCCAGCCTGAGAGCGAGGGGCTGAGTGCTTCAAGCGGTCTCGCGTGTCTTGGGCTTCAACGTTGTTATGGTGCTTCAGTTTCGGGCCCTCAGATTCGTGTCTAAGGCGGCAGCTAACGATTTGATGGAAGTGCCGGCTTTTTTCGTGGGCATTTGTGGCACGGACAAGCACCTTTAGGTACCGCGTTTCCAGCCAAGCTCTTGGTGTGAAATCGCCCTTACTTTTTTGGAAATGAGCAATGTCCCTAACGTTGTTTTGTCGCACACCGCAGAAAGAGAGAAAGAGAGATAGCCAGCCAGATATAACATTCTCATCGGCTTTGTCTGCCGTGACTGGCTGGTCAGTCAGGGCAGCACGTCGCATTACTCCTCATTATGCCTGAACCTGTTTGTTTCTACCAAACAGGTGCTCCAGACACCTCCAGATCGGCAACATTCTTTTTGGTTTGTATTTTCGTCACAGGGTTCGCCGTTGAATCGGAAATGGTCGCATAAATTTCTGACGTTTCTCCACTAAACCAGCTACTTCAACGCTCGTACTTGTGTTGACGCTGGCCTGATGTCCCTATCTGATATCAGTGCGTCATTACGGCTATTTGCGATAGTGACAGCTTGATCAGGACTTGAATCACTTGTACCCCACTTTGCTGGCACATGCCCTGCTCCTGGCGCGGGCTGCCCCTCCCCTCGACAAAATCTGGAAGGCGAGGAGGGACACAGCATGAGCAGCAGGAGCGCCAAAATCGAGTGGTGGGAAGGCACCACCCTCCACTGCAGGTAGGCAGATCCAGTAAAAAAAAAAATCATCCCGCGAAAGCCACATTCATTGAAAAATCTCTCCTCTCTCTTCTTCTTTTCTCCGTTACCAACCACACCAAACCCTATCAACAACCCCCTTCACATCTAAAGAGGGTCTGGCAAGGAGTACGTCTTCGTACTTGTTCTCTGTCTCGCTCACTTTTTCCATCAGAAAAAAACTTCAAAAAAAAACTTGAAAATCCCCCATCAAAAACTCCCAACTTCCATAACGGAATTCCCCTCCTCAATCGCAAGAAAATTCTAGAGGAATCGTTCACCGAGCCTCTTTTTCTTGCTTTTACCTCCGCACCTGCCTGTCAATCTCGCAACAAGTGCCCCTCGTGTGTGTCGGTCAAACGTCACACATCGCCATAACCTCATTCGACGATACAAGGCTCGCCTTCTCCTCTTCTTACTCTTATCCCCTCCGACCACATCGTCTCGGTCTCGTCCAACGACCGATCGTCAGATTTCTTGACTTGGTATGTGCCTTCTCCCCTCATATCCCCCCCTCTTCTACCTCACCGTCGACTTCCACCAACGTGTACGGCTCGCAAATTCCTACCCCGCCTTCCAAGTCGCGGCTCATTCCTCCGTCATCTCAGCCTGCGTCTAACGTCCACTTGGTGCTGCAGTATCTTCTCCCCTAGTCAATTCTACTACCGATACAATGGCCACCGCTACCAACAACGGCGCTGTCGATCAGCTCGCCAACGACCTGGGCAACGCTTCCCTCAACGGCTCTGACTCCAAGGCTGCCCCCGCCATCAACACCAATGTTGAGTCTGCCGCTCAGGGCGACAATGCCGACACCGCAGGCCCTACCCCCAGCTCCGCTGCGCCTCACCCCCAGGCCTCCGCCTCCCTTTACGTCGGCGAGCTCGACCCCTCTGTTACCGAGGCCATGCTTTTCGAGCTGTTCTCCCAGATTGGTTCTGTCGCTTCCATTCGTGTCTGCCGTGATGCGGTTACCCGCCGCTCTCTCGGCTACGCCTATGTGAACTACAACACTACCTCCGATGGCGAGAAGGCTCTCGAGGAGCTCAACTACACCCTCATCAAGGGCCGCCCCTGCCGCATCATGTGGTCCCAGCGTGACCCTGCTCTGCGCAAGACTGGCCAGGGCAACGTCTTCATCAAGAATCTCGATGTTGCCATCGACAACAAGGCTCTCCACGACACCTTTGCTGCTTTCGGTAACATCTTGAGCTGCAAGGTTGCCCAGGATGAGAACGGCAACTCCAAGGGCTACGGTTTCGTTCACTACGAGACCGACGAGGCTGCTTCTCAGGCTATCAAGCACGTTAACGGCATGCTTCTGAACGAGAAGAAGGTTTACGTCGGCCACCACATCCCCAAGAAGGACCGCCAGAGCAAGTTCGAGGAGATGAAGGCCAACTTCACCAACATCTACGTCAAGAACATCGCCACCGAGGTCACCGACGACGAGTTCCGCGACCTCTTTGCCGCCTTCGGCGACGTTACCTCTTCCTCGCTTGCCCGCGACCAGGAAGGCAAGAGCCGCGGCTTTGGCTTTGTTAACTTCACTACTCATGAGGCTGCTTCCAAGGCTGTCGACGACCTTAACGGTAAGGACTTTAAGGGACAGGATCTGTACGTCGGCAGAGCGCAGAAGAAGCACGAGCGCGAGGAGGAGCTCCGCAAGTCTTACGAGGCTGCTCGCATGGAGAAGGCCAACAAGTACCAGGGTGTCAACCTGTACATCAAGAACCTTGACGACGAGGTTGACGACGAGAAGCTTCGCCAGCTGTTTGCCGACTTTGGCCCCATTACTTCTGCCAAGGTGATGCGCGACAACGCCACCGACTCTGGCAACGAGGACGAGGGCTCCTCCGAGGAGACGGACAAGGAGAACAAGAAGGATGAGGTCAAGGCCGAGGAGAAGGACGAGGCCGAGAAGACCGAGGAGAAGGAGGACGGCGAGAAGAAGAGCGAGAAGAAGTCGGACAAGAAGCCCCATGGTAAGTCCAAGGGCTTCGGCTTCGTCTGCTTCAGCAACCCCGACGATGCCACCAAGGCCGTTGCCGAGATGAACCAGCGCATGGTCAACGGCAAGCCTTTGTACGTCGCTCTCGCTCAGCGCAAGGATGTTCGCAAGAGCCAGCTTGAGGCTAGCATCCAGGCTCGCAACCAACTCCGCATGCAGCAAGCCGCCGCCGCCGCTGGTATGCCCCAGCAGTATATGCAGCCCCCCGTCTTCTACGCCGCGGGCCAGCAGCCCGTCTTCCCCCAGGGTGGTCGCGGTATGCCCTTCCCCCAGGGCGGCATGGCCATGCCTCCCGTTCAGGGTGGCCGTCCGGGCCAGTTCCCCGGAGGGTACCCCCAGCAGGGCGGACGCGGTGTTCCCCAGCAAATGCCCCCTGTCTACGGCATGCCTGGCTCCTTCCCTCCCGGAGGTGCCTATCCCCAGCCTGGTAACCCCCAATTCATGGCTGCCATCCAGCAGGTGCAGCAGGCTACCATGGGCGGTGGTCGCGGCGGTCCCCAGGGCGGCCGTGGTCCCGTTCCCCAGGGAATGCCCATCCCCGGCGGCCCCGGCATGCCCGGCTTCCCTCCCAATGCTCGCCAGGGTGGTAACCAGCCCGGCGCCGGCCGTGGTGCCAACCCCAACGCTCCCCGCAACGCTCCCTTCCCCCAGGGTGGCCGTGGAGCCCCTGCCCAGGAGCTCAACAGCGGCAGCCTCATCCAGCAGCAGCTCGCTGCCGCTGGTGGTAACCCCGGCCAGCAGAAGCAGATCCTCGGTGAGGTCATCTTCCCCAAGATCCAGGCTATCCAGCCTGAGCTTGCCGGAAAGATCACCGGTATGCTTCTCGAGATGGACAACGCTGAGCTTGTTAACCTGTAAGTTGAAACAAACCCTACGTACACTGTACTCTCACTAACATTTCGCAGCATCGAGGAGGAGTCCGCTCTTAAGGCCAAGGTCGACGAGGCCCTTGGCGTCTACGAGGAGTACATCAAGACCCAGGGTGGCGAGGAGGGCGAGAAGAAGACCGAGGAGACTAAGGCCTAAGCCATCTCCTCCACATTCACGCAACGTCATGAGCATGATTTCCTTATGTCATCATACCCCTTGTTATCGGGCATCCTTTCTACGACCAGTGAGCATTCAACGACAACGCTCATGAGGTCATTGCTCAACACGGATTGGGAAAAGTTATTTGGAATGAGGCGGCATAATCGACTGCATTTTTTTACGCCAGAGGGATCTCTACGACATGCTTTGCTATGACGGCAGCTCTTTCTGAGAACTGTTGTCAAATCCTCTCGGGGCCTGCATGTATGGATAGATTTCTCTACTGCCTTCGTAGGCAGAGAGATTGGCGGCCCATCCCTCCTTTGGGTGGCTTCTGTTCTCTTGATCTGCCAGAAAGGCTCGGTGGGATGCGTGATTTGCCACCCAGTATGGTTCTCCAGGAAGGCGTTTTACGGTTGTATGTTTGAGTCGCACGAGCTGCCTGGCTTCGCTCGCCTGCGATGGCACCAATACCCCACACAGAACGGTACTCGTTTCTTCAGGCAAACAGGCAGATGGTGGTTTGAGGAGGTAGGAAATATCTCCTAATAGAAAGTTCATAAGTACTCGGCGTCCTTTTACTGTGAAGATGTGATTATGTGAAGGACTGGATGCTGCTCTGGCATTCCATCTTGAGAATTAGAAGGATGTCCAGTTGCCCATAACGACAGCCTTTGGTAATGCGGGTGGCGTCCCCCTGACTCTGGCGTATTCAACATGAGCGTCAAACTTGAGGTGATGCTCACTCAGTTTTGCCGGGCTTCGTCTAGGAAAAAACGGTTGAGAGGTACGGAGTTCATCTTCAAGTATTCAAGAGATCATGGGATATATGTGTAGGCGGAAGCCATCCCGTGTTGACGACGGTGAGTGGGAGATTACAACGCAAAGATTCTCATGAGAATATCA